TTTTGTCTGTGGGTCAAACCTGAATTCTGAAAGTCAGCTAGTTGTTTACTGTAGTTCACCATTTTAATATAATACACTTCCATTTTTGCTTTATTCCTGTGTGTTTTTGCTTTATTCGTCCATATTTTACACTATAATACAGACGCCACTTACCATCATTCTGCTTTAACCAGGATCCATAACACTGTGTATGGTTATGAACTCCATGCATGGTTATAAAGACTATGTATGGTTATACTCTGTACACCACAAGGACAAGAAAACAAATAATTTAAATATTTATCTGGGTTCTGATTGAGGAAATCTGCAATCAAACCAGGATCCAAGATGTCACGAGTGGGAACCCAGCAATGTTCCTCAGGGCCAAATCCCTCCCTATCAACCAGATACTGAAGCTCCCCTCCATCCCTCAGCCTGCGGACAGTGTAGACAAGGGCTCCATCAGCCTTCAACCGTCAGGTGTAGCCTCATCCAATGGACCTGGAAAAAAAGGGTTTAAGCAAAGACAATGAACGAGAAATGTGATAACGAGGGAGTAAATCCAGTTTGTAAATGATGTCATTAATCTTTTCAAGAATTTTAAATAGACCAATGTATTCAGGACAAGTTTTCGCCTCCCTTCTGAAAACCTGAGAGCCAAACTCGGTCCCCTGTGATGAGGTCTCTAGTCTCTGATGGGTCTCCTTCCAGACCCTCTCATTCTGCTGAACTCAATTATATCTGATACCAAACCAGTCCATGGTGCAACAGGCAGCTGGAAACCTAACACACCCTGGAAAGGAGTGATTCCTGTAGAAGAACTCAAAGAATTTTGAGCAATCTCCGCCCACACGGGAAACCTCGTCCAGTCTTTAGACTAACCGATACCCCAATGTGTTTGAAAAAGGCTGCCCAAACATTAGAGGTGAATTGAGGACCCCTGCCTTAAAGAACATCTGGAATACCAAAATATCTAAAGACCTGGTTAACTCATATTTCTGCAGTCTGGAAGGCTGAGGGTCTAGAAGGAAAGGGAATGAAAGGAACACTACAGGAGAACCTATCCACAATGAATTTTACTTGTCTACCATGGAGAGTGTGACTCATAATAAATGGCAAGATATTGTTAGTAAAGCTTCAAAGATAATTGGAACGTCACTTCCTTCAGTTGATTCTGTTCACAATCCAGCGCGTCTTTAAGCGAGCAAAGAGAATAATTAGAGATTCCTCTCATCTCATCACAGATGAGGAGGTACACAAGGCCTTTTTCCAGAACTTGCTAAAGTACTTTGCTTTTGTGTCTAACTTGTGGTTTGCATCTTGCAGGGTTTGTTCATGAAGTCTTCTGCTGACCAATCCACAACTGCCTCCTGAAGAGTGTTTGTTTTATTTGTTGTATTTAGTTATTTATTTGTCAGAGACAATTCAGATAAACATAGTTACACAAAATGCAGCACATGTAATGTATACTGGGCTTCTAGCTTAAGCTAAAGTGTTGGATGGTTTATGGGGATGTTTCTTCATTATGGTGAGAATTCTTCTATCATCAGCTGTGGAGGTCTTCATTGACCTACCAGCCCCTTTAGGGTTACTAAGATCACCCATTCTCTCTGTTGTTCTTAATAATGATTCAAACTAAGGTTTGTCTGATGTGTCTTACTGTTTTATTCTTGTTTCTCAGCCTAATAAAGGTTTCCTTGTCTTCCATGTTGACAAACAGCAAAATCAGACTTCAAAGGTGACCAAAACCCTAGAATCAAGACTAGATGTTTAAAGCTCTCTTACACCTGCATTAATACAGCAATTAAACACACATCAGTCATCACAGACAAAAAGCCCTTTGTCCCAAACATCATGGTGTCTTGAACTGGGGGTGTTTTTATAATAAATAGTATTATAGAGTAAATAAAACGCACATATCCAGATTTTTATAAAGGGCATTAATGTGAATTATGAGACGCTGTTGTCGGAAGAAAACTTCATCTCCATTTTTGACGTTTTTGTGTTTTTGACAGAATTTGAAAATGCCTGTTGCCCTTTACAGCGTGTGTGGATTTCATGATGAACGGACTAAAAGAAATGACCCAAAATGACTTGGAAATATGAAAGCAAAGTAGGTTTTTTTCTTCACCTGTAAAGTTACCATTTAGGAGATACGAGGTTTTCTTCCAACAACAGCGATAAACACTTCCTCAAATTAAGGCTAAAACTAGAGTAAAAAGAAATTCCACTAGTTTTTGTAAGAGAACCATTGTCTTATTGTACTTTTTATTCTTGTGTCCAAAAGAGATACTTTTTTTGGAAAATTCTGTATATTTTTATTAAAAACGAATGTTTATTATCTCAATTTGATCATTTCTCATGAATTCATAAAATAGGCCAATATCTAACAAATCGCCATCAAACTTTTAGCTTCATTCATTCTTTCGTGGAACCACTAATTTGTACTAAATCCTTACTAAAGTGTACTTGACACATATTTAAGTCATGCTTTTTGTAGCTAGCTTTGTCCTTTACTTACATAATTAGTACATCAAGTTATACAGTCCCAGTGTAAAATTAGTATATTTACAAATACAATGAAGTATTTTTGCTGAATCCTTTTTGTGCTCTTGCAATACTGATTCAGTATACTAAAGTATGTACTTAAGTATTTACAAAGGTGTACTTATATATGTGCTTAGCATTCCATGCATAGTATTTCACCTGTAGTACATAATAAAACATTTGCACTATTCTATATGTAAAGTATATGTAAAGTAGTAAAACATGCTGTAGTACAGGAAGGCTTTTTGATCAAATTGATGCTAGTTTTATGTAGAATTAACTGGTCACTCTGGCTGCCAATCCAGATTTTCCTGCATTTTCCCAAATTCCCTGAATAAAACAGTTCTACTCACCTGTCTGGGAGTACCTGGGAGTACCTGGTAAGCTCAGTGCACGTTTTGTCCTCTCTGTGAGCTTCCTGGATATCTGTGCACTAATAATAACAGAGTAAAAAATGAGTTCATGATGTGACTTTTTTGCCACGCGTTTGTCATTCTCGTCTTGTTGTGGTGAAACGTTTCCACTGAGTTAACGCGCTCAGAGCTAACTAGCAGCTATTAGTGTTCAATTAATTACATGAAATTCATCAACAATCAATTTTTATCTGTCACTCAATATTAGAGCTTTCAAAGGCTCATATAATTTAAACAGCCTACTAGCGAACTTAACTTAAAAATTTAATATCATCTACAGAGGTTCTTTAACTGGGTTATGTTTTGGTTCAATATAATTTTGTGTTTATGGTGTTGGGGATTGTTTTGTTTTCTAGTTTTCTCTTCTGTTTCCTTTGTTTTCAGCTGTTATTCATTGGTAAAGAGTATTAATGCTGAAGGGCTCTTATAAGAAGTCGAATTCATTCTGTTCTCACGGTTTGAACAATAACAACAAATGGCCTTTACGACACCCCCTATGGAGGATTAGGCCTTTCTGGGACAGAACACTCAGTTTGTGACATTAAGGCGTGGGGTGGTCGATGACGTGGGTATAAGAGCTGCTGTTCAGACTGTATGAAGATTACCAGCAATGTACAGAGAGCTCTTCAAATAGATCATATTTTCTGTGTACAATAGTCTCCTGACTTACTGTATGTGGCAAGATCTAAGATTTTCATCACTGGTCTTTGGAACCCCTAAAGTAGCCTTAGCCGCCCCTGGACACCTCATTTACAGACTCCTAGAAACGGCACTCCATGCAGCACAGAAACATCAGGCCAATAATTCTGAATGTGAATGAATGCAAAACTGTCTAACTGCATTACCCAAACTATGTGAACTGCTGCCACATCACATCTCTGAATAGTGCAAACCGGTGCTGAAGATTGTAAACTTTCAAATAAATGAAAAAAACAAACAAAAAATCAGCAACTAACAGGAAATGTACATAAAAAATAAGTTATTTGAAACATGCTGTACCTCTATTGAACACACAGTGAGTGTGTTTACATGCACTCAATAATCTGATCATAATCGGATTTCTGCAGTTATCCAATTATTCAAATGGTCATGTAAACACCATACTCTGATCTAGAAATCTGATTAAGAAATCTGATTAAGAGAGCTGTTCTTTAGCTCAGTAATCAGATTTCTCAGTGCATGTAGCCTCTTACTCTGATTACTCAGAGAACAGACGGTGGTACCAGAAATAAATGAGCAGCGTTGCGATGAGATGGCAGCAAAACACTTTTGGAGCGGCGCTGAAACCAAACATGAAATAAAGGATTTAAGTATTCTTCATCTTCTACATGATGTATGTTCATATTGTCAGGTTAAGATGTTTTAAAAAAGCCACGGCATGAAGCTCAAATTTTACGTTTGTGTTTACGTCACGACTTCTTCAGAAATCCAATTACTGCCTGACTCATGTTGACCAGAGGTTTCCCATTATCTGACTACTCAAGTGCATGTAAACGTGTTGATCGGACAAAATCTGATTTTCTGCAGTTATCGGATTATTAAGTGCATGTAAATGTACTCATGGTCATGAGCTGGGTTTCCATCCATATAGTTCTTGTACATATTGAATAAAAAGGCTTAGTTGAAACGGCAAATTGTTGAATAGAATCGCCAAAAAAAGGAAAAAGTTTGCATGTTTTCTACCAGTAGATATTTTTTGCCAGGAAAAAAAAGAAACGATATAAATTACAATAGAAGCACATAAACATAATTTATTAGAAGAACAGAATAAAGTCATCTTACTTACTGTTTTTGTACACAGTCACTCCAAAACATGACAGAGGGCACCAAGTTCCAGCTCCTTAAGCCAGTGTCGCATGGATAGACAGATGTTGAAATCTTGATGATAAAGGGGGGGGAAAAAAACAAACATTCTTAACACACTGTACAAAATACACACATAAGGTGTGTAGAGTAACCTTGACTCTTACTCAAGTCAAAGTATTACTATAGCATGCAAAGTTGCTTCAATGAAGTAATGACTCAACAAGAAGCCCAGCATAGCAAATCAAAAAAACACACACACACACATACCTAGTTTTGACCATAACTTTATTTTTCATCCATTTCATTCACAAAGTATATATTTGATCACTTTCTTATTTAGTCACAATTAGCAATAACATGTTTAGTCACAATTAGGGATAATCAGTAGATTCTAACTGCTCTGTACTCTCTTGATGAATGAAAAGTGGGGTATGTTAATTGATGTGATATGATGTAACCAAGAGCACAGCCCCATCTTCTTAAAGTGTGTTTATGTTTATGGATAATAGTGTAATCCAATGCAATGGCTTACAGCTGCTAATTACAGCTGAGCAACTTTGATTAACACTTGTATTTAAGTCTTAATCTTTAATGAAAGATTGTACCTTTTTCTGATATTCTTGGTGTTTAATTGTTTTCTGTTCCATATTAGGTTTTATTTTTAATTAGAAGCATTTTCCACAACACCGTGTCTGACTTTGTGCTAGCTAGCTAACAAAATGAGCTTACTTTGAGCTGGGAGGTTTGGAAGCAGCTCTAATAAAATGAGGATTAATTAATTAACTTTCTCAGAGCCTGGTTTTAGAAATGAACAGAAAACTCGCTCACTCAAACAAACCTTTAGCTTCAGCGTCTGACCACTGACTTCTACTATAGAGTTTAGTGCCCGTGGGTTTCCTGTTCTTTTCTAAGTTCAGGGAAGTTGAAGTTATGGTCTGTGGTAACTGACTGTGCGCTACAGATTCAGCAGATAGAGATCAACTCGAGTTTCCCTTTAAACAGCTAAACTGAATGATATATTAGCGATCTAACTGATCTTTCAGTGGGAAAAAGTCTTTAAAAAAATCTGCACTACGTAATAAATAATTCTACACTGTTTATTTTTAATGTTACTGCCAGACGTTTCTCCTGTAGTGTTTCTGGTGTGGAGATGCTGGAAAACACCATCGATCTCTGAGAGAGACACAGAGTCCTGGGTTAATCCAGAAGGGTTAGTTCACTTCATTACATTTGATTTTAACTGCCGTTTTATATATTGTAATTATTATATGATAGATGTTTTATAAATGAGGTTCTGATGAATTGATCTCTTCATATTCCTCACTCTGGTGTCGAGACTGTAATGAGGTTTATAATGAGAAAACAGCAGAAAAGAGTCAGCAGCTTTCAGTGTTCTGTTCCTTTATGACGTCACTTCTTTATGACGTCATTTAGAACTACCAGAAAACTGAGCGTCTCATTCTGAATGTGTGAGTCTCTTCAACAGGTGACGGTAAGTAAGTCTCCTCCTCCTGATTTCCTGCAGTAATATGAAAATATTTCAGTTAATAGGGACGTATTATGTACAATTAGTGAAATCTTTCATTTTTAAACATTTAAGTGGTCACGGAGAGCATTGTGTGTGTTTATTAGTACTATTTTACTACATCTTTGTTTAGTTATTTTAATCTTGTGTTAAATTATGAGTTATCACTGAAAATTTGATTTGTTTGCATTTTGGTATTTTAATTTTATGCAGTGTAAAGCGTGTTAGAGCAGGAAAACACTGAACTGTACAGAAAAAAACAAACCGCTAGTGAAACACTGAAAGAGCAAGACGATCAACGGTAAGTACAAACATATTTACAGTGGGGTTTAGTTTACAGTTACTTATTTATTTAACACTTTGTAATAGTGATTTTTATAATGCGTCTATTGGCCTACAGCCCTCTAAGATGCCGACTGATGAAATGTTTAAAGATATAATGAAAACCAAATACAGGCTTAATAATATACTACACAATTAAACCAGACAGTGAGATCATTTAGGTAAGATACCCTTAGATATAAATGATGTATTTAGATCTTTTTACTCCAGTCTCTAGACTTCAGTTGGCCTTAGGCCAACTATCTACAACTGTATCAGAATCAATAGATCATAGCTTTCCTCTGAAGAAATCACCAAAGCTGCTAATCATAAAACAACAGGACTAATAAATAAATACACAAAAACATAAAAACAGGAAAAAGCGGATACAAAGCTGGGCAGTGAGCGTTCTCTGACAACATTCATGTGTCCAGTCATTTTATGTACCACTGTCACTGTAACAAGAAAAAGGAAAACCTAGAGAAACATAATGTCCTCAATACTGGGGTGGTGATGTGGCCAAGTCTATTGGCCTGGAATCATTAATAGAAATTGATAATCAAATAGATAAATAAATGTCTAAGCTAAAAAGGTTAGGAAATGAAGCAAAGATAACACAAAACATTTATAAAAAGTTAAAAACGGTATTGTTATTCATATAAATAAGTAAATAAAGAAAAGAATAAATTAAAAAAATCAACAACACACAAGAAAAGAAAAAAAACAAATAAATCATAAAAAAGGTGTCCCCTATAGGGGGCGTGTTGGAGTGGCCAAGTCACTTGGCCCAGGTTATTAAAACGTAAACAATAAAAGGATACAAAGTTGGGCAGTGAGTGTTTTCCTCTGACAACATTCAGCTGTCCAGTGATTTCATGTACCACTGTCACTGCAACAAGAAAACAATAGTGGGGACACTTGGCTGAGATATTGATATGAATGAAGTAGGTCATAAATAAATCAAGTGGAACAATTAATAAAAAAATTTGAAAAACAAATTAAAAGTAATAATTTCTCAATGTTATACAAGTAATTAACTAATTGTAAATAAAGGAATTAATTAATCATAAAAAAGTAATATATCACCCCTTAAAAAACTGAATAAACACTCACATACACTAGAATAGGAGACATTACTCCATACACAAACTGAATAAACGCTCATATACACTAGAATAGGAGATATTACTCCATACACAAACTGAATAAACACTCACATACACTAGAATAGGAGATATTACTCCACACACAAACTGAATAAACACTTATAAACACTATACAGAAAGTGATTATTAACTACCAATAAATAAGTGAATAAACTACCAATAAAAACAATCATATAAACATATAAATAGATATTTAGTCTGTAACAACATAGAAAGAACACTCCATACATTAAAATAGGATATTAGTCTATAAACCACCTCAATAAACACTCCTACCCACAAGCATGTATTAGTAAATGAACAACCTCAATACATTTACCTATGCAGTAAAATACAATATATTAACTCAAACAACTGCAATATATGTTTCTATATTCTAGAATAGGAAATATGTTATTATATGACTTTAATAAACACTCCTATTCACACCAATAGGAGATATACCATAAACAATACCTGAATAAACACTCCAAACACTAGAATGGAATATATTAGTTAATAAACATCTTAAACAAATACTAATATTCACTAGAATAAGACAAACTAATCTATATTCAACCCTAATAAACACTCATATATGCCAGAAGAGAAATCCTTCATAAACAAGCTAAAGAAACAATCATCTAAACAAGAATATGACAGTTAATAAACAAAAATCTAAAGATATTAGTACATAAACATCCTTAATAAACAATCATGCACACTAGAATATGATATTAACCCATAAATAACAATAAGTGCTCCTATACACTTAAATAAAAAATAATTGTTAATAATAAATCTAAATAACCACTCCTATATACTAGAATTGGAAATTTTAGTCCATAAACATCATCAATAAATTATTATTAGTCCATAAAAAACCTCAATAAACACTCCACAGCACTATTATTGACACATAGGTGTCCATAAATGATCTAATTAAACAAATCTTATACGCTACAATAGTAGATATTAGTCTATAAACGAGACTCAAACTAATGAATTTGCATATATTCACCTTTTTAGCCTACAGCAGTTTAGCCCCGCCCATTTTGGCACTTATTCAGGTGGCCTCATCAGTTAACATGGAGTATTTCAGACTCTGAATCTTCCTTTATGACATCACTTCTTTATGACATCATATAGAACTACCAGAAAACTGAGCGTCTCATTCTGAATGTGTGAGTCTCTTCAACAGGTGACGGTAAGTAAGTCTCCTCCTCCTGATTTCCTGCAGTAATATGAAAATATTTCAGTTAATAGGGACGTATTATGTACAATTAGTGAAATCTTTCATTTTTAAACAGACTTTAACTACATTTAAGTGGTCACGGAGAGCATTGTGTGTGTTTATTAGTACTATTTTACTACATTTTTGTTTAGTTATTTTAATCTTGTGTTAAATTATGAGTTATCACTGAAAGTTTGATTTGTTTGCATTTTGGTATTTTAATTTTATACAGTGTAAAGCGTGTTAGAGCAGGAAAACACTGAACTGTACAGAAAAAAACAAACCGCAAGTGAAACACAAACAGCAAGACCATCAACGGTAAGTACAAACATATTTACAGTGGGGTTTAGCTTACAGTTACTTATTTATTTTTGCAAACACTTTGTAATAGTGATGAAGCAAAAGGCACATAAAAAGAAGAGCAGTAAGTGTTTTTCTCTGACAGCATTCAGCTGTCCAGCAATTTCATGTACCACTGCTACTGAAACAAGATAACAACAAAAAAAATTTCATAACAAAAGGTGTCCCCGACAGGGGGGGGTTGGTGGAGTGGCCATGTCACTTGGCCTGGGCTTTTAAAAAAGCAAGTAATTAAAAAACAACAAAGTGGATACAAAGTTGGGCAGTGAGTGTTTTCCTCTGACAACATTCAGCTGTCTAGCGAAAAAGTAAGTAATTAAAAAACAACAAAGTGGATACAAAGTTGGGCAGTGAGTGTTTTTCTCTGACAACATTCAGCTGTCCAACGAGATCATGTACCATTGCCATTGCAACAAGATAACAACAAAAAAAAATTCTATAACAAAAGGTGTCCCGACAGGGGGGGTTGGTGGAGTGGCCAAGTCAGTTGGCCCGGGCTTTTAAAAAAGCAAGTGATTAAAAAACAGCAAAGTGGATACAAAGTTGGGCAGTGAGTGTTTTCCTCTGACAACATTCAGCTGTCCAGCGAAAAAGTAAGTAATTAAAAAACAACAAAGTGGATACAAAGTTGGGCAGTGAGTGTTTTCCTCTGACAACATTCAGCTGTCCAGCGAAAAAGTAAGTAATTAAAAAACAACAAAGTGGATACAAAGTTGGGCAGTGAGTGTTTTCCTCTGACAACATTCAGCTGTCCAGCGAAAAAGTAAGTAATTAAAAAACAACAAAGTGGATACAAAGTTGGGCAGTGAGTGTTTTCCTCTGACAACATTCAGCTGTCCAGCAATTTCATGTACCACTGCCATTGCAACAAGATAACAACAAAAAAAATTATATAACAAAAGGTGTCCCCGACAGGGGGGGGTTGGTGGAGTGGCCAAGTCACTTGGCCCGGGCTTTTAAAAAAGTAAGTAATTAAAAAACAACAAAGTGGATACAAAGTTGGGCAGTGAGTGTTTTCCTCTGACAACATTCAGCTGTCCAGCGATTTCATGTACCACTGTTACTTCAGCAGGAAATTAAAAAAGTGGATACAAAGTTGGGCAGTGAGTGTTTTCCTCTGACAACATTCAGCTGTCCAGCAATTTGATGTACCACTGGTATTGAAACAAGATAACAACAAAAAAAATCATATAACAAAAGGTGTCCCCGACAGGGGGGGTTGGTGGAGTGGCCAAGTCACTTGGCCCGGGCTTTTAAAAAAGCAAGTAATTAAAAAACAACAAAGTGGATACAAAGTTGGGCAGTGAGTGTCTTCCTCTGACAACATTCGGCTGTCTAGCGAAAAAGTAAGTAATTAAAAAACAACAAAGTGGATACAAAGTTGGGCAGTGAGTGTTTTTCTCTGACAACATTCAGCTGTCCAACGAGATCATGTACCATTGCCATTGCAACAAGATAACAACAAAAAAAAATTCTATAACAAAAGGTGTCCCGACAGGGGGGGTTGGTGGAGTGGCCAAGTCACTTGGCCCGGGCTTTTAAAAAAGCAAGTAATTAAAAAACAGCAAAGTGGATACAAAGTTGGGCAGTGAGTGTTTTCCTCTGACAACATTCAGCTGTCCAGCGAAAAAGTAAGTAATTAAAAAACAACAAAGTGGATACAAAGTTGGGCAGTGAGTGTTTTCCTCTGACAACATTCAGCTTTCCAGCAATTTCATGTACCACTGCCATTGCAACAAGATAACAACAAAAAAAATTATATAACAAAAGGTGTCCCCGACAGGGGGGGTTGGTGGAGTGGCCAAGTCACTTGGCCCGGGCTTTTAAAAAAGTAAGTAATTAAAAAACAACAAAGTGGATACAAAGTTGGGCAGTGAGTGTTTTCCTCTGACAACATTCAGCTGTCCAGCGATTTCATGTACCACTGTTACTTCAGCAGGAAATTAAAAAAGTGGATACAAAGTTGGGCAGTGAGTGTTTTCCTCTGACAACATTCAGCTGTCCAGCAATTTGATGTACCACTGGTATTGAAACAAGATAACAACAAAAAAAATCATATAACAAAAGGTGTCCCCGACAGGGGGGGTTGGTGGAGTGGCCAAGTCAGTTGGCCCGGGCTTTTAAAAAAGCAAGTAATTAAAAAACAACAAAGTGGATACAAAGTTGGGCAGTGAGTGTTTTCCTCTGACAACATTCAGCTGTCTAGCGAAAAAGTAAGTAATTAAAAAACAACAAAGTGGATACAAAGTTGGGCAGTGAGTGTTTTTCTCTGACAACATTCAGCTGTCCAACGAGGTCATGTACCATTGCCATTGCAACAAGATAACAACAAAAAAAAATTCTATAACAAAAGGTGTCCCGACAGGGGGGGCTGGTGGAGTGGCCAAGTCACTTGGCCCGGGCTTTTAAAAAAGCAAGTAATTAAAAAACAGCAAAGTGGATACAAAGTTGGGCAGTGAGTGTTTTCCTCTGACAACATTCAGCTGTCCAGCGAAAAAGTAAGTAATTAAAAAACAACAAAGTGGATACAAAGTTGGGCAGTGAGTGTTTTCCTCTGACAACATTCAGCTGTCCAGCGATTTCATGTACCACTGTTACTTCAGCAGGAAATGAAAAAAGTGGATACAAAGTTGGGCAGTGAGTGTTTTCCTCTGACAACATTCAGCTGTCCAGCAATTTCATGTACCACTGCCATTGCAACAAGATAACAACAAAAAAAATTATATAACAAAAGGTGTCCCCGACAGGGGGGGTTGGTGGAGTGGCCAAGTCACTTGGCCCGGGCTTTTAAAAAAGTAAGTAATTAAAAAACAACAAAGTGGATACAAAGTTGGGCAGTGAGTGTTTTCCTCTGACAACATTCAGCTGTCCAGCGATTTCATGTACCACTGTTACTTCAGCAGGAAATGAAAAAAGTGGATACAAAGTTGGGCAGTGAGTGTTTTCCTCTGACAACATTCAGCTGTCCAGCAATTTGATGTACCACTGCTATTGAAACAAGATAACAACAAAAAAAATTATATAACAAAAGGTGTCCCCGACAGGGGGGGTTGGTGGAGTGGCCAAGTCACTTGGCCCGGGCTTTTAAAAAAGCAAGTAATTAAAAAACAGCAAAGTGGATACAAAGTTGGGCAGTGAGTGTTTTCCTCTGACAACATTCAGCTGTTCAGCGATTTCATGTACCACTGTCACTGCAACAGGAAATGAAAAAAGTGGATACAAAGTTGGGCAGTGAGTGTTTTCCTCTGACAACATTCAGCTGTCCAGCAATTTCATGTACCACTGCCATTGCAACAAGATAACAACAAAAAAAATTATATAACAAAAGGTGTCCCCGACAGGGGGGGTTGGTGGAGTGGCCAAGTCACTTGGCCCGGGCTTTTAAAAAAGTAAGTAATTAAAAAACAACAAAGTGGATACAAAGTTGGGCAGTGAGTGTTTTCCTCTGACAACATTCAGCTGTCCAGCGATTTCATGTACCACTGTTACTTCAGCAGGAAATTAAAAAAGTGGATACAAAGTTGGGCAGTGAGTGTTTTCCTCTGACAACATTCAGCTGTCCAGCAATTTGATGTACCACTGGTATTGAAACAAGATAACAACAAAAAAAATCATATAACAAAAGGTGTCCCCGAGAGGGGGGGTTGGTGGAGTGGCCAAGTCACTTGGCCCGGGCTTTTAAAAAAGCAAGTAATTAAAAAACAACAAAGTGGATACAAAGTTGGGCAGTGAGTGTTTTCCTCTGACAACATTCAGCTGTCCAGCGAAAAAGTAAGTAATTAAAAAACAACAAAGTGGATACAAAGTTGGGCAGTGAGTGTTTTCCTCTGACAACATTCAGCTGTCCAGCAATTTCATGTATCACTGCGATTGCAACAAGATAACAACAATAAAAAAAAATCATATAACAAAAGGTGTCCCCAACAGGGGGGGTTGGTGGAGTGGCCAAGTCACTTGGCCCGGGCTTTTAAAAAAGCAAGTAATTAAAAAACAACAAAGTGGATACAAAGTTGGGCAGTGAGTGTTTTCCTCTGACAACATTCAGCTGTCCAGCAAAAAAGTAAGTAATTAATAAACAACAAAGTGGATACCAAGTTGGACAGTGAGTGTTTTCCTCTGACAACATCCAGCTGTCCAGCAATTTCATGTACCACTGTCACTTCAACAGGAAATTGAAAAAAGTGGATACAAAGTTGGGTAGTGAGTGTTTTCCTCTGACGACATTCAGCTGTCCAGCAATTTCATGTACCACTGTGACTGCAACAGAAATTGAAAAAAGTGGATACAAAGTTCCTCTATGAAAAATGTGCACAGACAATCGTGTACCCTGCCTGGGAGAGGGTCACCGGGACCTACCCCTGGAGCCAGGCCTGGGGGTAGCGTCCCTCAGTGAGCGCCTGGTGGCTGGGCAGCCCACGTAACCCGGCCGGGCTCAGCCCGAAGAGGCAACGTGGGGGGACCATGTGGGCCCACCACCCGCAAGGTCCAGCATGGGGCAGTGGGAGATTGCGGGGGGGGGGGCCTGGTGGCCTAGGCCCCTGCGGCAGAAACTGGCTCTTGCTACGTGGAATGTACCCTCACTGGGGGGGAAGGAACCGGAGCTTGTGCGGGAGGTTGAGAGGTACCAACTAGATATAGTT